TTATGGTTTCATAGTCATGATGAAGCAACTAAGTCATCCCATTGATATTGTTACCAAATGGAGTTGAAGCCACACGTGCGCTCTAACTACGATTAAGTACTCACTGTACGCGAATATATTTCCTCTTCTTACTTTTAGAAGATTGGTTTTATAGGATGTGTGCATGCCGGTTTTGAGGAAAGTGGGAATTAGGAGGCTGCAACACAAGGTGGAGTAGAGCTAAACACATACAAGTTTGTGTCTGTTTTACAAAGCGGTTGCATGCCTATAGTTGCGGTTAGTAATGCGATACACTGTTGACATATTATAGCTTGAAAAACTTGATGTGCAGATGACGACAAAAATATTGCCAGAGAGTTCAGAAGAAAGTTATGCAAATGGTATGGCCGTAAGGATTCGTTTTGTTTTGAAACCAGTAACGTTGCAGAAACTGAGTGTGTTTGGAACAGTACTTGTGTTAGAGAAAAAAAATATTGTTTTTGCTTGTAGATTTGGGTTATGTGAAGCCTTTGTAGATTCACCTGTTACCGACATCAATTTTTTAATTATGCTTTATATTTTCTAATTACCTCTCTTCTCATATATTCTCTTTGTTCTCACGTCTTCATACTCTCAGTATTATTTTTCCACGCATTCATACATTTTTCTATGAACACCGGTTATTTAATTTTCTAGAGGTTTAGTATCGAAATATTTACATATATTTCACATATTTCTATGAACAGTGTTTGAATGTATTTGTTACAAAGGAAATTAACCTTGCTCTTTCTTCCCAATTTAGCTTCCCCACCAATTAACAATACAGTTCAAAGCTGTTTTTTTTTCTTAAGTTTCTTTTTACCTTTTTATTATATCAACTATGAACTTGACTTCAAATTTTATAACTGATAAAAATCCTCCAAATATATTCCCTTATATTTTATATCGTAAATTGTATTTGTATGATATAATAAATAAATATGTGCACAAAGAGATAGCTGAAGGGATCGTATAGACTACTAGACTAAGGAGACATGTTCACTAATGATATCCAACAAAGAATCAATATGAACTTTAATAATAAATAAATAAATAAAGAAGACAAGCAAGATATGATTCTTGGATGTCTCACAAAGTCATATAAACAGATCGATCTACCAATACATGCAGAAATATATTCGTATCTAAGTTTGATTCACAACTAGATTTCGAATAAATTTCATGACTTTTGTTATATGAATAAATAATTATATTCGCTGCCCTTCACAATAAAGCTATAGGCCTCTCCCACATACATGGAAGCGAATCTCTCCGGCAAGCACAAACCAATATCTCCTGTCTATCTATCTATGGGGTTGCGTACATCAATCGCTTTCGCGTCCACATGTTACAACTATCAATATCATTATTCATTAGTTATATATATGCGCATATATATTTTTTTTTCAATATATATCACCACACATATATGTTTATTATGCTTCACGTGATGGAGTCGTGATCAACAAGAGATGACCCTTTGGCTTAACCAACAGGTTGTTTACTAATCAGCGAAAGGAGGGATTAACTTTAGATGCTTTTGCGGTGGTGGAAAATAGAATATTGTATACAAGAGTGGTTTTTTTACTCAAAACGATTTCTAATTTAGAAGAATCTATGTTTTTTTTTAAAAAAAAAAAAAAATCTAAGTACATGTATTCCAATGTACATATTATACAGATATACATAAATGTATAGAAGGGATACAGATATGCATATATAATTTGTTTAAATGGAATTCAGATATGCATAAATGTGGTTTTGAAAGTGCATGTTAACTTTACTTGCTTAATGTAGTATCATCTTATATATAAGGGAGAAAGATCCGCAAGTTGACAATCCATAATTCTCTTGTCAAGTTGTCATGTCTCCTCCAACTCCATCGAAATATTCTCATTCATGTTTTATATATCGCACAGCTCAAAGTGGAACTTTACTCGATTGTTTGAATTTGTAGTAAACTAATTTTGCTCATCATGATCTAATGTAATAGAATAAATTTTAACCAAAAAGATAATAATCTCAACAAGAGCTCACTAAGCTTCACTGACGGGACTGTCTTTTTTTATGCATGGAGAAATATAGTAAACACAACAAGTCACGGCTTAAATTATATTGAATTTGTGTTTTTGTATAAAATGAATGTGTATGCTTTAATTTTAACTATATATATGCCTGGTTACGGTTAAAGAACAAATTACCAATAATCGACATTTGAAATCATCATGGAGGATTATATATATTTATCGGGTTTGGTGAAACCAAGTAGTAGTATAAAACAGTCAGGAGTTTTATGAAATTTTAACAACGGATAATGATGATGAATGAAAGCATAACCCATATTCATGTTAAGAAAAATGAAGACGTAACCAATAATCCAAAAAAAGAAAAAACTTAAATAAGAGCGAATCCATCATCTTTTATGTTCCTACTTTATCCATTTTATTCATTTCTATCCTATGGTTTAATACTATAGTTTATTCGTTTATCGTATACACTAAAGATTTAAGATTGTACGGGATAGGCTAAATGTAGTAGATATGTAGTTTGTATAAAGATCTAAATATTAATCTAACAAATTTTGGGAGTTGACTAAATGATTAAACAAAATGATATTATTCCCTTCCCAACTATGGATTGTTCTTGCGGAATATGAAAAAAGTAAACCCATATATAATTTACTGTTAACGGCAAATCATATCCAACTAGCACTTCAAAAAAGACACATATACCCCTGTCTTAGCGAAATTACAAATGGCCATGTGAGCTGGGTGCTGCTGATATTGCCTCAACCAATAGACTTGACGTGAAATCCATGGGCCCGAATAAAACACACACTGGGCCCAGTTAATATTCCATAATCCAAATAATCAATTATGATGTTTTTTTTTGTTATGTCCTTTCCGAGTATTTTTCTACGCCAATATGATTATATGAATGATGTTGATGTAATTATTCATAACCAACCACAAAGGGCAGAGTATGTAGTATGTTCGTTGCACTGTTCAGAAAATCTAAAATAATAACGCCAATATGATAAATCCTCTCAATTTTAAACTATCACCAAAGACTACTACTGTGCCTAACTGGTTTCTTGTCAGTATTGTTGGTCTAGAAACAATTTATCTGGCTACTGGCTAGAAAGTTGGTTCTCCATGATGTTCTTTACATTTTTTTTTTTTGTCAACGATGTTCTTTACATTTTTCTGTTCAAAGTTTACTTTTAAGTTTTAAGTGCCAGTTCTTTGACCAAAAGCATGAATTTGGTTTGATGGAAATTATTGTGCTCGTCATGGATTAATTAGATTTGAATAGGTTGACAAAATTGTTAACCTTACTTTCTGGATTTGTTATCATTCTCTTTACTATATACTGTTTTTCCTGTTGTAGCCTATGTTGCATGGAAACTCCGTCCGAGGTATGTTTTATGCTTATGTTTTTATGTACTTAAATTTAGCAAGTGCTTAGTTGTTTAAGATTATTCAAAACGTTTCGGAAATCGAAATTCTCGAAAACACGAAAAATCACGTTTCTGAAAAATTTTAATTTGGAAACACTTTAGAAACGCGTTTTCATTTTAGAAACACACGTTTCCATTTTGGAAAAAAAAAATAAAAACTAATTTCTTATTTTTATAGAATAAATAAATAATTATAAAAATTAAATTAAATAATTGATTTACTTATTTATAGTAAATAATAAATATTCTGATTTGGTAATTAAGATTAATTTTGAAATTATTAAGTTTAAAAATTATTCTCTGGATGAATTAGAATTAGAGATAGATTGGTTAATAAAACTAAATAAAATTGATAATAAAGAAAATCTTCTAAATTTTTGATTTTACATATTTTAATTTTTATAGTTTAATAATTATGTAAAAATTATATATTAGATTTTATTGATTTAAATATTCTACTTATAATTAAATTTTTAATACTTAATATATATATATATATATATATATATATATTTGGGATCCTTTTATATCTTTCTGCTCGTGATACTTATGGACTTAACCATTGCTAATAACTGGGTCTATTTCCATACCCATCATTTTCAAGTCTTTCCATCGTTTGTTGAAATGGTTTTAATTCAATTTAAGACAAAAAAGAAAATAAAGGGGGTACCAATTTCACACAGTTTCCCATCAGTCTAAAATATTAAGCCACGATAAGTTGTTTTTTTTTTTTTTTTTTTTTTTTTTTGCCACCAAGACCTCAATTAACTGCAATGAACAATGTGATATATTTGGATATATTCAGAGGCTAATCCACATTAATGATATAGGGACAGTTGCCCCCGATGAATTTTGTTTGTCTAGTGTTATTTTACTTTGAACAAATTTTATGTTCCTGTTCTTATTTATTTTTCTGTAGTATGTTCCCATAAAATATAATTCTAGATCCGCCCCTAGATATATCGACCATGGATAGAAAAAATATGTTGATTGGATCTATCTCAAACTAAAAAATTCACACTAATCATCTAGATCGGTAGAAGTTACAAAAAAAATTACACTTTTTTTTATCAAATAAATTGAATTTCTAACTACCACACCGTAATTAGGTTGGCGTGGTATCATCATCGATCCGGAAAAATTATGGAACTAAGATCCAATAAATTTTAACGTTATCTAAGAAAGTAAGAAAATACAAATCTAGGTACAGATATATACATATGCAAAAACACATTACTAAAATATCTTCGAACCTGGTGCATGATCAAAGCAACGTAACGTATCATGGGGATTCCGTGACCCACTTACCCTCAAATTCGTTTTATAATAATAATAAAAAAAAAGATGAAGAAGAGAAATGACATTTTGTGAACTATTTTACACCTCTCTCTTTCTATCTGCCAGACAGTACTATAAATAAAACTGTAAACCACTCCAAGCAGATCAAACTAGCTAACTTCCTGATTAAAATAAAAATCAAAGCAATTTTTTTTTTGTGTACAACATTTTCCAAGAAAAAACAATGAGGGAATTTCCAAGCACAGCAGATCAGAAGGTGTCAGCAATGGTCGAGTCTCAGACGCGGCATCATCCATGGCGTTCGCCTGTTCCTTACCTCTTCGGTGGTTTGGCCGCGATGCTTGGACTCATCGCCTTTGCTCTCTTGTTGCTCGCATGCTCCTACTGGACGCTCTCGCGGCGGACAAACGACGGTGACGGCGAGAAACAGACGGAGTCCGGTGAGAAAGTGGTGGCTAAGGTTTTCGAGGAGAAGATTCTTGTGATCATGGCTGGACAAAGCAACCCCACCTTCTTGGCCACTCCGGTCGCCGCCAAGACTTGCGTCACAGTATTGGACTGTGTAACCAGTGGCGTGATTGTTGTAAATACGGAGGATAAAGAAGGGCAAAATGGGAAATCTACGGTTATAGAAGGGTCGTCGTTTTCTTCATCAGAGGGAAACCTGTGAGCTCTGTTCTCAAGAGTGTTTTCTTTTTGTCGGCTTTCTCGTCCTCTGTTTCTTGGCCTTTTATTTTTTGGTTGTTCTTTGTTGGAATTATTTTCCTCTGTTTTTATCGACCTGGACTTGTAAATCTGCATTAGAGTAGTTAATGTAAACAGAAGATTTATAATGTTTTGTCGGTATGAAATTATTTTGCTATAAGCTAATTTCCAATTTGTAAACAAAACAAAATTAACCTCTCATTAAAAACAAAAACAAAAAAACGAAAAACAAAAGTTAATTCAATTTATCACTAGATCTTTTAATTTGGATGTCATATGAATACCAAAATAGCTGAATTATATAATAGTAGAATCAGTGAACGAAAATAACTCGTATACTCATTAAATTTAAGAAAATATTTATGTTGGTTAATTTGACTTGAGAGTGTTGAGTTTATCCAATAATTTACCGTTTAAATAATAAAAAAAAAGTCCCATTGTCTTATTTTGTTTCTTGAATTTTCTGCAAGGTTTTAATTTTAATTTTAAGGGAAAAAACGATTTTGGTATTTTGAAGTCAACAAGACTGAAGAAAGTACGAGAGCAAGTACGATACGATCATTTTGGTTCGTAACTCAAAGATATTTATTGATGACTCGGACTCCCATGGTTTTCTGCCGTCGGTTGGCGGAAAAAGCACATTGAGAAAGAGACGATGACGCCATAATATGTACACGTGTCTCTTCACTGGTTTCGAAAGAAGGTGCAAAAGTATGCATCATTTATTGTCGGAACAGTTGTATGAGCCCGTTACTCCTGACGCGGCGATGCGACTCTGCTACATGATCATCATCTTCTTTAATGCTGCTCTTTTAAATCAACTTTCTAACTCCACATTTCTTTATCATATGATTCGGACGGTTTCCACATATGTACTTTCTTCTCTATATAAAATTTATTAGTTTGGTAGGCGTACACACGAACCATTTGCAATCAGAACATTTATAGAGAAGTACACAATTTATCATAGCTATGGATTAAAAATAATGGTTATTACATGGTACTAATATAAATTTTGAAACCTCATACACATACACGTACTTAAAATAAGTTAAACAAAAGCATTATTCGATGAGCGACGAGAAATTGATGATTTCAACGTCCTATCTAACCACAATAACATTGGTATATATAGATTAACCATTTTATATTTCGAATTAATATATTAGTGAAAAGAGATATATTCTGCCTGTGCGAAGTGAAAAGTGATAGTGTACTTGATGAACTATTTAAGGTGCGTTGGTTTATTTGTTGATGGAATAAGACTATTTTATTGATGGGTTTGTGTCTTAGTATTGGGCCTTATTGGGTCAACTTAGTAAACAACATAATATGAACCATTAGGCCTCAATAAATGGCCCATACCAGACCCATTAATGACCGACATACCCACCGATTTACTTTATCCTTACCTTTGTCACGGTATCGTCTCCATTTATGGTTGCTTCTCGTGGTGGTCCTAAGACTCGAAGTAGAAAGCATCAGCCCATGCTTATTCACAATTATTCAACAACTTTTTCATTATTTTTTTTCAAAACCAAAATGACCATTTTCTATGAAAGTTTATAACTCATTTCAAAATCCTTTGACAAATTTGCTACGCATTATTTGCAATAAAAACACCTGTTGCCAAATGTCGACGCTTCAGAAATACGATTACAAGTAGATAAACAAGAAAGCATGATTACAATAAAAGAAGACAAAAACTCATTTTGTGTTAAGTCAGAACTTTTATGCCAAGTATTTTCCTACAATGAATTATGTTGTTTGGCTAAGATTTGACCACGTGTCTGGATTTCATTTGATCTAAATGGATACTCCTGGGGCCCACATGGATAGACTCATGGACACGCTCATGTGAAGCCATAGCAGCACCAACCACAAAGAGAGAGTGACAGAGAGAGAGAGAAGAGAAAGGTAGAGAGAGAGAAGAGAAGAGAAGAGAAAGAGAGAAATAAATGGCGTCTAAGCTCTGCGACTCGTGCAAATCGGCGACGGCGGCGTTGTACTGCCGTCCGGACGCGGCGTTTCTGTGCTTGAGCTGTGACTCGAAGGTCCACGCGGCGAATAAGCTGGCGTCGAGACATGCGCGCGTGTGGGTGTGCGAAGTGTGCGAGCAAGCACCAGCACACGTGACGTGCAAAGCAGACGCGGCTGCTCTCTGCGTCACGTGCGACCGAGACATCCACTCGGCTAACCCCTTGGCACGCCGCCACGAGCGCGTCCCCGTCACGCCTTTCTACGATTCCGTCTCCGGCGCCGATGGCTCCGCCAAACACACCGCCGTCAATTTCCTAGAAGACTGTTACTTCTCCAATCTAGACGGAAACGCTAACCGTGAGGAAGAGGAGGAGGCGGCGTCGTGGCTGCTCCCGAATCCGAAGACGACGGCGCTAGCTACTGCGGCTGAGGCGGTACCGGGAGATAGCCCGGAGATGAACACGGGCCAACAATACCTGTTCTCGGATCCGGATCCGTATCTGGATCTGGATTACGGGACTGTTGATCCGAAGCTGGAATTGCAGGAGCAGAACAGCTCCGGCACCGACGGTGTTGTTCCGGTGGAGAATCGGACGATTCGAGGCCCGGCGGTGAACGAGAACTGCTACGAATTGGATTTCACGGGAGGATCCAAAGGCTTTACTTACGGTTACAACTGTATCAGCCACAGCGTAAGCTACTTTTCCCGAACGTGTCAATTAATTTTTTCTAATCAACTGATAATTTAATTGATTCTGTTTAAAAAACAGGAAAACGAACACAAAAGAACCAATTGTTGATCCAATTTAGATCTTAGTATATTTTAATAATTCTTTTAACAAAAGGTTTTTGCCGTTACGACTTATAATGACACTTAAATTATTAATTTAATCGGGTACTAATGATTGGGGCACTGAATTTAGTGCTGTAGCTTGTAGGCAAGCAACGTGTGTAAGCTAATCTATAATTAGAAGACATACGATGATAATCATTACTTGAAGTATCCGGTTATATCTAAATCAAATTAATATATGCGAGTTCTTTCTGGATCTGTTTTATTAGATAGGTGGTCTTTGTGATATCGACTTTCAGTGTCATCTAAAAATTATTAATTTAATCGGAACAAATGATTACGAACAACATGCGTAAGTTTATCTATAAGTACCATAACGATAGTATCCAATTATATTTCTAAAGCAAAGAATTTGCGTTATATTCATAATTTATACCGACCATTTAGTCTATATATATAGTACTAATTGGAGTGGCAAGTCAAAAAGTTGTTTCTGATCCAACGGTTGTGACTGCAGGTATCATCATCGTCGTTGGAAGTGGGAGTGGTACCAGATGGCGGCTCGGTGGCGGACGTATCGTACTCTTACTGTGGTGCTGCAACCAGTGGAACCGAGCCGGGAAGCCAGCGGGCAGTGCCGTTGACGTCAGCAGAGAGAGAGGCGAGGGTAATGAGGTACAGAGAGAAGAGGAAGAACAGGAAGTTCGAGAAGACGATAAGGTACGCTTCACGGAAAGCGTACGCGGAAATGAGACCGAGAATCAAGGGACGGTTTGCGAAGCGGACGGATACCGGCGAGAGCAACGACGTGGTTGGCCACGGCGGTATCTTTAGCAATTTCGGACTTGTACCTACATTTTAGAGATTTGAGAGATACGACTCTAAAATGAGAGGGGGTTTGTTTGGTGTTTATTTTTAGTAATAAGGTTTTAACGAACTTTTTTTAATTAAAGAGCTGTTTGTTTTTTTATTGATGTTATGTGAGGGGAAAGAGGAGGACAGGAGAGTGGGTGGTGTTTTGCATTAACTTGTCTTTGTATATATCATGTGATTTTGAAACGTGTTTTGTGTATGTAATGTCTCTATTTCCTATTTGATTCGAGGGCATAATTTATAAGTTCCTTTTGTGTTTTTCGCCATCAAAATTTGGAACTGTTAATGATCTCGTATGTGAAGTTAGAGGTTAAATTGTGTATGCAACAGAGTTACAGAGGTGGAGTGGATGTGTATGCAACCTCCCATGCTAAAATAAGACTAACGTGGAATGTAGCTCAACAAACTTAAATTTACAGTTTAGTACACGGCAAGAGAAAAATTACATGATTGGAGTTAAAACCGTTAAAAAAGGAGAGAGACGGAAAAGAAAAGACACTTGCATCAACGATACAAATTAGTCAAAGCAAAATCTCGGAGACGGGAGACACTGATAGTTTCAAAGTAAATAAAAACGGAGACATTCACTGATCAAGAGATCATTCTGAAGTCAGTAATGGCGTTTTAGTTAGAGATAGAGTGAAGGCTACTTGCCTTGCTTGTGGCGGAATCGCTATGAACTGCGACTGGCTTTCGGTTCTTATCACCCACTGTTCCTCTCTGTTCCGAGGAGGTGGCCTGTGTTGCTGCGATCGCCTGCTTATAATTGTTGTTGTGTACTGTGGTCTGCCCTTGACCAGGTTGTTTGGCTGAGCTCTTGGGCTCGGAGCCGCTGCGAGTTGCGGCTGGCATTTGATTCTTCTCGCCGGCTGAGCTCTTGGACTCTGAGCCGCTGCGAGTTGTGGCTGTCATTTGATTCTTCTCGACGGCTAAGCTCTTGGATTCTGAGCCGCTGCGAGTTGCGGCTGGCATTTGATACTTTCCGCCGGCTGAGCCACTCTGTTCTGAAGAAACGCTGCGTTCTGTTGCTGTAACCGCAAATGGCTTTTGATTTGAGCTGATGTGGCCTGAGTCGTCGCTTCTAGCTGCGATCGGCTTATAGCTCAGGCTTTCCTTCTCAGCTTTCCGGTCCAAGTCGCTGTGTACTGCGGTATGGTCTTGATTGGTTTCTTTGGATGAGATCTTGCTGTCTGAGTCATTCCTAACCGCGGTTTGCCTTTGATTTGCTTCCTGGGATGAGCTGGTGTGGGTTGAGGATATGTGGGAGGCTTTGGTATTAGCAGTCTTGCTCTCCAGAAAACGAACGACTACACATGTGATATTGTCTGCACTTCCTCTCTTTATTGCTTCTCCCACAAGTTTCTTGGTGGACTCCTCTGGTTCCTCCACCTCTTTCACCACTGCAACAGCTTCCTGCAACACCATCAGAGATCCCTATCATTTCATATCGGAACAGGAAATGGAATTGAACTATATTCATCATATAACACAAAAGAGTTTATTAACAAACATCATTGGAGAAAACATCCCATAGTCCATCACTAGCAAGGATCAGAAACTCGAGAGAATCATCAATTTTCTCTTCCTGCATGAAGGTGAAGACTTGATCTTAAACACAAGTAGATTAGATGTATGGGGCAGATAATGTTCATATGCAAGTGAAGACGACACATACCTGAATTTCTGGATCAGCAACAACATACTGTTTGAGCAATCGATCACCAAACGCGCGAGATACTGCAAGAACTCCTCCAACTCTCCAAGTCCCTATTCAATCCAGGATTTAGGACTATGCTTGAAGAAAATAAAAAAGAAGAATCAAAAACTACGGTTTCTTGCTACCTGCCCACATCACAAAACCACCAGCATTCTCAATCCGTTCACGCTCGTCACTTTGATCAGGTTTATGGTCTCTTGACACAGCGAAGGCTACATAAAGAACACATAATCAAGAGATAGTACCAAGAAAAGGTCATGTGATATCAGAAGGAAAATAGAGAGCAAAAATTACCATTTCCGCCTCTGCATATAACAGCTCTGGAATCTCCAACATTTGCAACAAGTAAACGATCACCAACGAGAATAGCTGTAGACGCAGTTGAACCCGCATCTCTGGTTTGACTATTCTCTGACTTGAGAAGTTCAGAGTCTGTATGATTATAGGCATCAGCTGGAAAAAAAAAACAAAGAAAATATGTTGCAGATTTGAGATAAAAAACCATAATAAGTCGGAACCAAAAGAATCTTCACACGGGTTCTTGGAAGCAACCTATTGCAGATTTGGTGTCAGATATGAACTTAGGATGAGTGATGAGATTGCTGAAAAGATGACGCTTCACATACTCAGCTGCTCTGGCTCCACCATGGCCTGCAACACATGCAGTAACAGAGATGATCAAGGTTTCTCTTTCCCAAAGGCAAACTTAATCTATATTCAGAGAGGGGCCAAGAAATACATACCATCAAAGACTCCAAACAGACCAACGATTTCTCCATCGATACCATCAATCCTCGTCTCGAAAAAGTCTTCCATAGATGACCTCTTCCCTGCTGAGCTTGCATACCCATAGCTGAATTTTCCATTTTGGCTGCAATTATTAAATCATGTACGTTGTGAACGATGAGTTCGTGTTAAGTAGAGCTTTAGCAAAAAGGTGTATGAAGAAGATCATTGTTAAGAATATAGATATGTTTTGTTTTGCAGTGAGATGAATCAAACATGTAGCGAAGAAGCACAATCATGGAGAGAGCTCTACATGGCTTAGTGGCTACTCATTCAAGTAGCCTCAGCCACAGAACAACAACAATACGCATCTGATTAAACAATCATGGAGATAGATAATTTCGACGGAGAAGAGAGATAAGTGACCTGAGACCGCCTCCGCTTGCCGGGGCTTCAACAATACGCATCTGATTCGAATAAGACTTGGCCAAGTCCATATATCCCATTTTTTCGTTTTGTTTTGCAGAGATCTCAAAATCTCAAATACTACTCTTCAGATGGCACCGAAACCTCAAAAATAGTCTGAAATGCAACGAATCAGGGGAAGAAATTCAGCACACATGAATTGAGAAACAACCGAAAATCTATTCGTGGAATTAAGAAATTAAAGAGATTCCAAGGAGACCTGGAGATAGAAGTGAAGAAGATTGGAAAAAGGAGGGCGATGAAGAGAAGAAGATGAGAGGATTCATGGTTGACGGAAATAGCGTAAGAAACCAAAAAGGGAAACAGAAAGCAGCGGTTTGACGTTTCCCGGAAGCAATGGTGTACAGTATTTCCCGGCGAGACCTCCGGGCTCAGTGGTGCCTTGTGGTCTTGCTAATAATAGTAAGCTTTATGGACTTGGAAGTCAAAGGCCCAGACAAATGGCAGCTCTAAAATGTGACACGTGACACGTAGAGCGAGGGGTTTACTTTTTAATCATACCACGTTATGCTTTAGCCGAATTGATTACTTTCCCCCTCATATACAGAGAATTATCGAAAACACACCCCAATTATTAAATCAGTCCCAAACTGCCCAAAAATTACGATAAATGAATCAATTAATTTACGATTTTACCATTTGTTTGTTTTGCAGATAAGAAACTAGATTCTGCCTATCTAGTGTGTATTCTCTGAAAAAAAGAAACGTTAGAATCGAAAGACCCGAGTAATATAATAATTATTGGCTCTTGTTGCGATGGAGCAGTTTGGAGAAAAGGATCCAAAAAGTGTGAGGAACTTTGTGGCCAAAATGGGTAGACAAAGCAGAAACAATATCTAAAGCATAACTATGAACCTCAGGTTTCCCTGACATCCGAAGAAGCATTGCTGTCCACATTCGAGGTGCAAGCTTCACGGCCTCGCTCAGACACTTGAATCCGTTGCTCAACCTTCTCATTGTTCCTTCTTCCTGAAACCATGAGATTTTAAATTAACAGTTTTTCTTTGTTTCTTCTATTCTTTAGTTTCCACTGAGAAAAAGAAAAGGAAAGGTTTTCGATAATTACTACTAACCCTGAGATTGATGGTCTGCTTCTTCGTGTTCAGATCAAGAGCCTCTTCTTCCAGGAAAATATCAACCACTCTGACTATGTCCCGAAGAAGGAAGACCCGAACTCTCTGCCCTTTCTCTGATAATATGAACAGTAGCAGATCTTCTGTCGCGGAAACTACTGAATGCATGTCGAACGACTTCAGTTCCGATGATTTCTTCAACATTTTATCTTCTGGAGAGTCTCCAGAAGTCGCAGACGCCTGTTCGGATATAGCTGCTACCTGAGCGAGAGAGTGTGTTATAACCTCATTCTTCAGATTACTCAATTTCCCAAAGAGAACAACAAAATCCTAAAGAGGAGTATGATGTACCAGACGTTCAAGTCGATTCCACCTTATTGATCCATCGTTACAAATGACAAGTTCCCTTAGTATCTTCCTCATATCTGGGCTTGGATCTGCTAGCAGCCTCCCGATAACAAACGGATATGCGCTCTCGATCACTTTAAACTCTGGATCAAGAATCTTTGCTGTGCCTTCTAGTGAACCAAGGGATCTTATGACAAGAGCATAATCTGGAGGCAGCGAAAAGTTGAACTCGTACATGACATCATATAGTTGTTCCATCACCCCCTGTACAGTAACAACTAAGGTTATAAGGAATCATTTCAAAAAAAATTGCCTCTGTAGGGCTGAGTGTAAAGTATCACACGATGAAGGAAGGGCATACCTGGAAATCTTGTGATATTCTGGTACTAGAACCAAACGCCGCACGCAAAGCATTTGAAACTGTTTCTATATCGACCCCTTCAGGCAAAAATCCCAAGGAAAGGAAATCATTCGCTAAACTTAAAGAGTCACGGTTGACAAAATGCACCAGCTGTAAGCACAATAGAATTAATCAAAATCGACAAAGTAACGAAAACACATTCTCAGATAGAAAAGTTATTCTTTCGCCATGTGCAACAAGCAACCGTTGCATCTAGTATATTATAAACGCAAAATTGAGAAGAGCAGCTAGAAATATCGCAGGTATATAAGAGAAAGAGACAGAGAAAAAAGGTAAGTTTAAACTGAAGTAGAGCTTACAATTTGAATAAGTCCCACACGGTAATGACGTGGAATATTCCCCATCATGCCGAAATCAAAATAAACAAGAGACCCTTCTTTAGTTGCCACAAGATTTCCCGGGTGCGGATCAGCATGAAAGAATCCAACCTCAAGCAGCTGCTTTAACGAACAGGATAAGCCCTGTGAACCAAAACAATACAAGGTTCTCAAAATGGCAAACTTACAGAAACCTAGCCTTACTAAGTCCACAACTATATCTCATAATCACAAATTGCTATCTACAGATTAATTTATCACTTAGTGAGAACATTAACCTAGCAATTAGGTATCAGTTACTTCGTTACCTGATCGATCAAGTCCCTTCTATCAAGAGAAGCCATTCTCAGCTTACTTTCATCTGTTAGTTTTATGCCGTCGATCCACTCCATTGTGAGTACCGCTGTGCGTGTGAAGTTCCAGTAAATTTTAGGAACTTTTATGTTTTCTGCTCTGTGATTCCTGGACTTATTCCCAGATTCACCGCTTTCATTAGTCTGATCATTCCCTGCCAATGTTCAAGATGTATCGTATTTAACAATGGTTATTTAGAAAAGAGTGCACAATCTGAAAGAAGGGTAGCTACCTGAGTCAAAAGAGTATAGAGCAGCAAATCGTTCTGCATTTTTCGCCTCTCGAATGTAATCTATCTCATCAAACATATGCCTGACCTGTTCATCCAAGAGAGACATGAACACGTTTGTATAATATATGTCAGCAGAAAACTAGTTCAAACATTTCATATAAATGACTCACCATCTCATTCACTGCTACCAAAAGATCCTTACGGGCTTTCGCAAATCGTTTCAGTTGTCCTCCAATCATATGAAATAAGAGGGCATCACGTGTTAGCGAGATTGACATTCCAGGTCTCTGAACCTTAACAGCTACCAATTGTCCAGAATGCAGATGAGCTGCAATACTTGAAGGGAAAAATTAAAACATTTAGCTTCTAGTAGCTCTAAACTGAGAAAAATGGCAAGGGTGATACCAGCAGAGACCAAAAGGATAGAAAAGCCAGCCACAGTTTAAAAAAGGTATCTAACCTTTGTATACCTGGCCCAGAGATGCAGCGGCAACAGGCTTAGGACTAATATCTGCAAAAAGTTTTGACACTGGAGCACCTAGTTGCTCTTCAATGCATCGCATGGCAACAGTAGTTGGAAATGGAGGAATTTGATCCTATAATCATCAAGAGAAGATACATTATCCAGTTATTCTGGCACAGCCATATCGATCATGTAAAAGATAGAAAGATGACACACCTGCAACTTAGAAAGCTCCTGACAATATATAGAAGGTAATATGTCTGGTCTTGTGCTCAGCGCCTGTCCTAGCTGCAACACAAATAATGCATTATTTTGCGAGAATATATATATAATAAGAAGACTGAGATTAGTATATTTAGAGGAGCACTGGAAGAAAAAGCGAATAACTAACATGCCTTAATGTAGAAAGGCCCCAAGCTGATAAGAGTTTCACGGAACTGCATCCAGAATGTGATAAAGTTACAATCAAATTAATTATTGGCCGAGCCAAATATACAAGTATCGTCAAAGGTCGCGAGCTTACAGACCTTGACAGCCCGTTTCCTCATATCCTGCTCAAACAGCTGCCAGAAGGCAAGCTTCACCACATAGAACGAAATGATGGCAGCTCTATACAATGCCAAAAATGGGCCAAAGCGATACACTGCAGAAAAACTTTTCGAGCTATATGCTCCAAGAGCATGTCCAAATTCGGTTTCAAGAGATTCTCTCCGCAACTTAGCATACTCTGCTGTAGGTATTCCACCATGAACGCTGGTGAAGCCCGTTGAATACCTACGAGCCCATACCCAAACAAACGATTAGCCTAGAAAAACATCCTATGAAACTTCAATTGGTTGTGTATCCGAAAGTAATTCAGCAGGATCAAGAACTCACGTTCTGTGTTGCAAGTAATATGGCGAAATCCATGCAGTTGTCCTTCTTGGGAGCTCATTATCCCTCCCTCTCGATATGTAGCCCCCAGGCTTGAAGTCAATCGTTTTGTCATCACGTAAAGCTACAACTATAGCAACAACCTCATCAACATAAAATTCTACATTCCAAAGGAAAATTTAAAAAATCTCAGTAGCAGCACCATGTTAGCTTAATAAACGTCTTATAAACACCCCTGAGCTCATTTCAGCAAAGATAATTTTCACTGAAGCTGAGCTTGGGCAACCATGGAATTACAAAGCAAAGAGTAATCAGCATTACAAAACTAATATCCGGGTTTCTAATTTCCCCAACGCCGAAATTTTATATTTTCAGGATAATCACAATTCTTTCGAGTATCGAGTCAGAAATCCAGAATTCCAACCCGAGAATCATCCACTCCCGCAGATTTTTCTAAATCCCTATAGATTGTTCAACGAAACATCATCAAACTGCCATCGAATGCGTGACCGAGAAGGGAAGAAAAACGTACATCTCTGGAGCAGCGAGACACGACGGTGATGGCGGAGAGCAACAACGGCATTCCTCATCGGCTAACAGAAAGAACACGACGATCTATTTAGTCGAACAGCATGCGACAATCCCATAGTCCGTCCAGATTACCACTTGCGCAGAAACTGTTCGCTAAAATGCGCAAGCGAGATCGCCCTTGAATAAGATGTTTTTGAGTATCTCTCCTCCACGTACGAGCCGCCGAGCCGAGGAAGCAACAGTGCAAAGCAAAGATCGCCACGTCGATGACACGTGGCAAATATCGATGCAGTCGGCGTTCTTGTTTACTTGGTGAAGTTATCTGGGCCGGAATCAGGTCAAAGTGATGGTAGCTTTAGGCCCATATATGTTCAGCGTAACTGGAGTAAGGATAACATTGCTCCTGCTCCAAAACAGCACTGCAGATTTTCAAATCGGAGAAGGATATCTCGACGACTCTTTCTCTCACAAAAAACTACCTTAGTCGTCTCCGGCAGAGAAATTTCGGTGAAGCTTAAACCCAGATCGATCCATTTGAGAGTTTTTCTTTCTTTCTTTCGTCTGCAATGGAGAAGTCTATGGATCTCGTACCGGCTTTGGTTACTTTTCTCGCCGCAGCTCACGTCATCGCCTTGGTAACTCCACTTGCTCGTTGATTCGAATTAGGTTTATTATATTTTTGCAGCACCGATCGTTGATCTCTTTCGGATTATGCGATTCTGTAGGTTTACTGGATTTACAGATTGGCCTCTGATCGTCAGCCTCAGAGACAAAAATCTCAATGAGGAAACGTCGGGACATCGATCGGAGTTCGATTTCATCGGTTGGTGGGTTTTATTCCGATCTGATATTGCGTTATCGGCGTTTTCTTATTGTTGGTTTTGATGAACTTATTCGCCGTGTATTTGTAATTGAAATTGTAGCTCACTTTCAAAGATCTTAGGTAGATCATATATCTTCACCAGTATACTTTTACATATGCGGTAGCGAGTTTTTTTTTTTCTGCTGTTTCTACACTTTTGGTGTCTTTCCGTAACAGATTCTGTTACATTCTCAATCATTTGTTTCATTAGCGATCATTGCTTTGCACATGTAAACTCCGTCCGTCCGAAGTACGTTTCTGCTTCCAAAACATTTCGGAAACTAAAACTTTAGAAAATTCGTCTATACACGAAAAATTATGTTTCCTATACTTTAGAAACGCGTTTTCATTTTAGAGATCCATATTTCCATTTTGAAAAAAAAGATAAAAAATAATTTCTTATTTTTATAAAACAAATAAATAATTATAAAAATTAAATTAAATAATCGATTTACTTATTTATAGTAAATAATAAATATTTTGATTTGGTAATTAAGATTAATTTTGAAATTATTAAGTTTGAAAATTATTTTCTGGATAAATTAGAATTAGAGATAGATTGGTTAGTAAAACTAATAAAATTAATAATAAAAAAAATCTTCTAAATTTTTAACTTTATATATTTTAATTTTTATATTTTAATAATTATGTAAAAGTTATATATTAGATTTTATTAATTTAAATATTCTACTTATAATTAATTCTTTAGTATTTAATTTAATATATATATACATGTTTTCAAAACGTTTCTATTTTTATATTTTATATAACGTTTCCAAACATTCCGCTTCTACGTACCCGTTTCGGTTTCTATGCACATAGCTTTGCACACTTAACATTAGGGAACCAAGTTCTTGCTAATGAAGGATATGTCCATTGTTCACAGTCACCACTTTTTCACTTGCCATCTTTCTGAGATGCATAGGATAGATTACTGCAACTAATTGCTGCAGCAGCACGATTGACTGATTGATTATTGGTTGGTTTCGAAGAGTCCATTACTAGATTCTTCCTTCCGATGTTACCCGCTTGTATTGTGTATTCTAGTAGTTTTGTTTCGTACACACTCACATTTTCCGAGAGTAAGTTCAAAACTTATGGACACCAAAGAAACTTGTGAAAAGCTTTGTTGGTGAGTGACGAAATCAAGGAGAAGCAGTCTGTGTGGTGTCGTATGATTGCAGTGAACACTGATTGCAGAGTCAGATTTTAGAGTGGCAGTCAAAAGTCAATTCAGAAATTACAGTCTAAATATAGAGGAGTAGCTGGGACGTAGTAATTTTTTTCCAAAGAGTTCAAAATTTTGGAGAGTCTACAGTTATTTATTTTAGTAAGCCTTTTTATCATAATCAGAACTGAAATGTACCACAAAAACAAATGCAGAGAGATATCTCAAGGGTATTCCCGTAATTTCCTATTTGTACAGAAAAGGCAGTGGCGCCCACTAATTAAACCCCACCACACGAGTAGCCAACCAGAGAAAAGGAAGGAGAGAAAGAGAGAATCCCACGCCATGAAGTCAACGAAAAGCTCCGCCGGCGACAATAATTCCAAACCGGCTAGAACCGGATCAATTTCGCCTGTACCGGAGTGGATAACCGAGACGATCAATGGTGGATCGCTCCGCCTCGTAGATCTCCATACCGGAATCAACGGCTGGGCTTCGCCTCCAGGGGACGTCTTCTCTCTCCGCTCCGCCAATTACTTCACCAACAAAGAGAAATCACCCGGCGGAGACTGCCTCCTCTCTCTCGCCGGCGTTGACTGGCTCAAATCCAGCACGAAACTCGAACACGTCCTGGCTCGTCCCGACAACCGCGTTGCTCAAGCGCTCAGAAAAGCCCAATCGCTTGGCCAGTCCTTAGATAGCTTCATCTTCGCGGTGAATTTTCAGGTTCCGAGCAAGGAACCGTACAGCTTGGTGTTCTACTTCGCGACGGAAGATCCGATCCCCTCGGATTCCGTCCTCCGTCAGTTGATCGACGGAGACGACTCGTTCTGTGGCCAAAGATTCAAAGTGTTGAGCCGCGTCGTGAAAGGTCCCTGGGTGGTTAAAGCGGCGGCCGGGAGCTTCGGCGCGTTCATTGTGGGTAAGACTGCGAGGTGTAGTTACCACAGAGGATCTAACTACTTGGAGATCGATGTCGATTTAAGCAGCTCGGCGATCATGACGGCGCTACTGCGGCTTGCGTTGGGGTACATTACGAGCCTTACGGTGGACATTGGTTTCGTAGTGGAGGCGCAAACGGAGGATGAGCTGCCGGAGAGACTGATCGGAGCTTGTAGGGTTTGTCATATTGAGTTATCGACGGCGTTTTCTGTCGTCGGCCCGGAGAACCCTCTCGGAACGATGGGTTCGGCGAAAGCAAACCACGACGAGGAAGACGAAAATGTTTCAGTCTAAACGAGGAAGAAAAGCCCTGGTCAATGTTTACCAAATCCTCTGTTTCTCGATTTCGATCTGAAAGAATCTAATTCAATCAAAAGAAACTAAAAATAAAATAAAACCAATGGAATTTGATAGAATTGAAGATTATATACATTTAATCATGGACTGAGTGTTTTGTTTTGTTGATGGAATCATGGACAGTGTGGGAACACAGTGCACATCTCTTAAGCATTGTTATTACATTCTCTGGTCTTTGGTGTGTGGCAAAGAGTAAGCAAGCACTCTCGCTTGATCGAACAAGGAAACATAAACTGTCTGAAACATAATTTAAGTGCAAATATCCATAAACAAGAGATGGACTAAAAAAAAAAAGAAACATTCATGGAAGATCTACTCCGATTCTCTTGTATAATGTTGAAAACGTAAACGTCAATTAATCTTTGAGAAGCCATAAAAAAAAGTAACAATAAAGAATATAATTAAGCTCTTCCTTGATAGGGAGAAACCAAGGTCGGCAAATACGAAGTCCTTCTCTGTCTATCTGATGGAGACAGTCTTTTGGCCGCTAGATCAAGCATCCAAAAACTTGCGTTTAGCAGACCGAAACATGAAACATCAAGGAATAACATCTTTTCCCACTTGTCGTCGTTCGAATCTTGTTGTTGTAGACTCCAAATGTCCATACTCGGACGCTGTGACAAGTCTGATAGGCACAAACGATCATTTAGGACCCACATGTGCATACTAGGGGAGTACCAATTCGGTAATGACACCCGGGAGAATTTTTCAGTGTGGAGATCCATAGCTACTAGCTTCGGAGGGTTTTACATCCACCGAGAGCGCCGTGTCATCCAAAAGAGTGATCCGTTTGCGAAGAAAGGTGTTTGCTCATTTCGAATTCGACTCTTATAAACAGGGAAAAACCCGGCATCTCTTAGCTCACCACTACCAAGGGACATGACCTTAACCTTGAGACGCATGTAACGTTGGCTTACATCAAACCCTGAATAATGCATCAAAATCACCTTGTATGATCCTGTGACCATGTCTTTCCCAAATCTCATGGTAAATGGCATTCCAGTAATGCCACCTTCAAAGGAAAAAAAAAAACGTGGATAATTTAAAATGATATATATATACATCATTACCGTATCTTGCAATCCTAACACAGCTATGAAAGTCACTCGTAGGTTCCTTGGGATGGAAGTCAATATTGTTTTGTGTAAACATAAAAATTACACCCCCTTTTTTTTTCCCAACCACATCACATGCATGCATTGTGCGGTTTGAATCCGAAACATAACGATACCATTTAATTAAAATAGTGTTTGTTACATCAAAACCTAGGTTGAATCAATTATCGGACAAGAAGAAGAAGAACCATGCACGTACCTGGTTGATCTGTGGACAACTGCAACAATTTATGAGAAAGTGTCCGATGCTCTCTCGTCGTGGGATTGATCAGGCAGACGTAGTTAAAATCGTAGAAGCTGATCAACACCAATCCGTCACAAGATCCCAAGACTTGAATAATTCCGTTGTTTGACTCGTTGATTGGATAAGGGATCAGGAAAAGCGTAAGAGCTAAGAGAATAAGAAGAAGGATAAAGTCGTCCGTCCTTGTCTTTATCTCTAGAAGACATGGTTTCCAAAAGAAAAGTTTTCGAGTTGGTCTGATGATGAACAACAAGGAGCTTCAAGTTGGGGTTGGTTTCTAATCCCCGATAGGCGAGACGTTGATGGGTAAAATAGGTTGATCCGATCAACAATCTCCATGTTTTCGACACTGATTTGAATCTACACAGTGGTTTCGTCGGAAGTCGCTTGAGAATCTCTTCTATTATATCATCACTTAGAATGATCATAGTCCCTTCCATGCATTCGTTTTCTATCGATAGAAACCGCCCTTAGATATATATTGCCCTAGACCTAGACCCGACACTCAAAACTCTTTCTCATAATTTATTCTCAACCTTCTTTCAAATTTTGGTTAATAATTAATGTCGAAGAAGCGTATCTTTCTTTTATGTACAAGACTGTTATTTTCCGCATATTGTGCAACCAAAAGAAAGCAAGAAAATCGTCATTTTCCAAAACATAAATTATTCTCATTTTCAAGTATTTTCCTAAAAAGCTAAATGAGTTACAACAGTTGGTAGTTGGTGGTGGCAAACTTTTGTCCATTTCTCTGCTCTCTCTATATATACATATATAATCAATAAAGGTGACAGAACATCCCAAAGTTGTTGGGACATATTTTCCATATTTTTGCTTATAAAGAAATAAAAATGGGCTTTTTGGTATTTCAAAATCAGTAGAGAAAGTAGTGGTGACAAGATCTATTTTGATCCAACGGTGTTCGGACACGTACCTATAGAGGCGGTACTAGGTTAAAAAACTCGTTCTGTTTCTTTGTGGCCGACTGATCTTGAAAAAGCTTTGATTTTGTGTGTGTTTATGGACGGTTTTGCCCTTCGGACCCAAATACGTAGTCTTTTCATAGTACTGGGAAAAAAAATGGGAAATGCTGAAATACTTTTACGTAAGACTTTAAATTACAGATCTAACTAAAATACGGAGAAAGAGAGAAAAGTCAAAAGTATTAATGAAGTAGTGAACAATTAAGTTTGTTATGGTGACTTTGATGCAAAACCAAGTTTTATTACATTTCAAATATTCTTCTTTTTGTTGAATTTGCCTTACAATTTTTATTTCTTTGATACATTTCTTCAAATACAAAAAACCTTATATATTTAAGGTGGAATTGTAAAAAAGCAGGGGAAAAGAGAAAGTAGAAAATTAGAGAGAATGTTCATACTAAGAGACAAACAAAGATGTCTTTTAGTCAAACATTTAACAGCAAAATGCTTGACATTTTCATTTCGTCGCTCTGATCTGAGTTTTATCCTTTCATTTCTTTAATCATTTTCTTGTTCTTCTTCTTCAATGGGAATTTGTTGTTCATACGAAATAAGGTCAACGAAGCTTCCTGTTTGCCAATTTACTTCTTGCTTTTTGAGCTTTAATCCAAGCTTTGATTTTGAATCCCAAATCTCTGTTCTTTGACTTGCCGACATCAAAAGATTCATCATTTTTATTATCTGCGCTTCAAGCAAAGATTTACTTTTCTTTCTTTTCTTCTATGAGCTCAATCCAATCCAAGAAAGACTCACTTCAGACAACTGTGGTCTCCGATCTGTTTCCCACAGTTTCAGGCAAAACCCACACCAAAAGTCTTAACATTTAAGCTCAGAAACGGATCCAAATCTTCAGTCTCACCCATACAGAAACCAGTTATGGTAGTAGAAGAGCAAAGCCTCGAAAACGGCGGATCCGTCCATGTGGTGAAAGGAGAAAGTCGTTTCCGTAGTGTGGTGTGGGGTCCAGTGCGGTGGATAAAGATGCTGGCGAAAGAGCTTCACTGGAGCTTTGTGTTCGGTGTGGTCTCTCTGTACGGAATAAACCAAGGGCTTGGTGGCTCAATGGGTCGTGTAGCCACAGAGTATTACATGAAAGATGTTCAAAAGGTTCAGCCTTCTGAATCTCAGGCTCTCACTGCAATCACCAAGATTCCATGGATCATCAAGCCTCTTTGGGGCATTCTCACTGATGTTCTTCCCATCAAAGGCTTCCACAGACGCCCTTACTTCATTTTAGCCGGTAAATCTCGAAACTTTGGATCAAATTCTCTTTTCACTTTCTCATTAAATATGTAAATTCTTGACTGTGCTGTTTTTTTTGCGTGGCAGGGGTGCTTGGAGTGGTTTCTATGTTGTTCATATCGATTCATAGTAATCTACACCTTTACTTGGCATTGTTGTTGATGACAATATCAAGCGCTGCTATGGCCATAGCCGATGTAACCATTGATGCTTGCACCGCTTACAACAGTATCAAACACCCTTTTCTTGCATCGGATATGCAGAGCTTATGCAGCTTGAGCTCCTCCATTGGAGCTCTTCTTGGTTTTTTTATGAGTGGCATCTTAGTTCATCTTGTTGGCTCCAAGGTTAGTGGATCTTGCGCCGTGATCCATCTCTCCTTCATGATTTTTCTCTTATCCTGTGTTTCGTGTTTCGACAATTAGGGCGTGTTTGGCTTGCTCACATTCCCATTCGCGTTAGTATCAGTGGTCGGGGTGGTGTTTAGTGAGTCCCATGTTCCTGGTTTCTCTTACAAACAGGTAAACTCTGTTCTCTCTCCTTCACTAGCTTGATGTTCTAGTAACCAACATGTGATTGTTGACTCTTGTTTCTATCAATTCAGGTTAATCAGAAATTTACCGATGCAGTGAAAGCAATGTGGAGGACAATGAAGTGTTCAGATGTGTGGCGGCCAAGTCTGTATATGTATATCTCCCTTGCTCTGAGTTTGAACATTCATGAAGGTCTCTTCTATTGGTTCACAGATTCAAAGGATGGACCTTTGTTTGCTCAGGTACTCCTTAAAACAACCAGTTTACATACTCGAAGATGCGTCTCGTAATATCTTGAGGGCATATATCTCTGGTTTGTTTCAGGAAACAGTTGGTTTCATTCTCTCCATTGGTTCAGTCGGGTCGATTCTAGGAGCAACGTTGTACCAGCTAGTCCTAAAGGATCATCCTTTCCGTGGCCTTTGTCTGTGGACTCAGCTTCTCTTTGCCTTATCCGGGATGCTTGACCTCATCCTCGTGCTGCGTCTCAACCTAAAGTTTGGCTTACCGGACTATCTCTTCATAGTGGTCGACGAGGTAGTTTCTCAGATGATCGGACGCCTGAAATGGATGCCGCTGCTCGTCCTCACTTCGAAGCTTTGCCCTCACGGAATCGAAGGGACCTTCTTCGCGTTGCTAATGTCAATCGACAACGCAGGAGTCATGACCTCGTCTTGGCTCGGAGGAGTGTTGTTGCACGTCCTCAAGGTGACTCGGACTGAGTTTGGTAACCTGTGGCTTGCGGTTTTGATCAGGAACGTGATGAGGGTTTCGCCGCTCTTTGTTCTGTTTCTTGTGCCTAAGGGAGACCAGAACACGT